TAGAACTGAGGGTATGGCTGAAGCAGTGGAGCACCTGCTCGGCAAATGTGAAACCCTGAGTTCAAACCCCAGCCTCACCAATAAATAAATAAATAAATAAAATAAAAAAAGAAGAAGCAGGGAGTAGAAGCTGAGTTTTTTGGGGTTTTTGTTGTTTTTCTTTAGGGCCTAGGCCTAGAAACTGGCATAGTATCACTTCTGTCATCTTCTACTGGTCATGAGGTTACAAAGTCCAGATGGAAGAGGAGTTGGAATGAGGCTGAGTGTATAGGTCCTTGATAGAACACATGTTTGAGACCCTGGATTTGATCCCCAGTACACAAACAAGGAAGAGAGAGAGAGAGAGAGAGAGAGAGAGAGAGAGAGAGAGGAAGAAAGGAAGGAAGAATGAAAGAAAAAGAAAAAAGGGAAAAAGAAAAAAATAAAAAAGCTGTGTGGAGGTTGGAGAGAAACAGATCCCACTTCTGGATGGGAGAAGTATCAAAGAATAGAGGACCATGTATTTAAATTACAACAAACATATTTGAAATAAATAATACAATAGATGGTCTAGTAGCAGAATGGTTATAACTGAGAATGAATTAGTAAATTGGAAAGATCAAATTAAGGAAATCTCCCAAAAAAGAAAAAAAAAAAAAAAGAAAATATAAAAGTGATACAGAGTATAGAAACAGGTTCTAATATCTAACAGGAATCCCAGAAAGTGAAATAAAGATGGAGAAAAGTGATAAGCTTCAAAAACATTATGCTAAGTGAAACAAAACACAAAATATTTTATTATATAATTATAAAATATTATAAGATACCATCTATAAGGAATATCTTAGTTCAATACCCAGTACCACAGAAAAAAAAAAAAGAAAAGAAAAAGAATTACCTAGAATAGGTGTGAATTCATACAGAGAGAAACAGATGGGTGGTTGGATGGGGGTAGGGAGTAACTGCTTACTGGCTAGCGAGTGAGAACAGGGCTTCCTTCTAGGGTTATTAAAATGTTTGGCAATTAGATAGAAGTGATGGTTGGACTACTGTTTTGTGAATGTAATAAAGACCACTGAATTGTTCGCTTTTCTTTGGAGGGGGGTACTAGGGTTTGAACCCAGGGTCTACACATTGAACCACTCTACCAGCCTTTTTTTTTTGTGATGGGTTTCTTTGGAGATAAGGTCTCATGAACTATTTGCCCGGACTGGCTTCAAACCACGATTCTCCTGACCTCTGCCTCCTGAGTAGCTAGGATTACAGGTGTTAGCCACCACTACCCAGCTGAATTGTTCACTTTTAAATGATGAACTCTCATAGTATATGAATTTCACCCCTTTTAAAAGAAATTGCTAGTGCTTGCTTTGGCAGCACGTATACTAAAATTGGAATGATACAGAGAAGATTAGCATGGCCTCTGCACAAGGTTGACACGCAAATTCGTGAAGTGTTCCATATAAAAAAGAAGAAAAAAGAAATTGCTAAAACTATAGGAGAAAACTGATAATTACACAACCAGAAGTGGAAGATTTAAATATAACTATTCGTTTACAAATGGGCCAGAAAACAAGCATGAATATAGGTCAGGCATTGTGCCACACATCTGTAATCCCAGCACTGGGAGGTTGAGGTTGGAGGACCTCAAGTACCAGGCCAGGTTGGGCTACATAGCAAGTATGAGGTTAGCCTGGGCTACATAGTGAGACCTGTCTCAAAAAAACAACAAAGATAGGTGCCACTGGCTCCTAGCTCCTTGGGAGGCTGAGATCAGGAGAATAAAGATTCAGGGCCAGCCTGGGCAAATAGTTCTTGAGACACTATCTTGAAAAAACCCAACACAAAAAAGGGCTGGTGGAGTGGCTCAAGCAGAAGGCACCTGCCTACCAAGAGGAGGCCTTAAATTCAAACCCCAGTACCATTAAAGAAACAAACAAACAAAAAAAGGCTGGCAGAGTAGTTCAAGTGGTACAGCACCTGCTTAGCAAGCATGCAGGCCCTAAGCACTGCCACAAAAATAAATAAATAAACAAACAAACAAATTCAGATATGCTGAATCTTAGGCATCTTCATTCTGAATTTTTTGGGTTTTTTTTTTTTTGTGGCACTGGGGTTTGAACTCAGGACCTTCACCTTGAGCCACCCCACCATCCTTTTTTTTTTTTTTTTTTTTTTTGGTGAAGGGTTTTTTTCAAGATAGATTCTCTCAAACTATTAGCCTGGGCTGGCTTCAAACCTCAATCCTGATCTGTGCCTCCTAAGGAGCTAAGATTACAGGTATGAGCCACCAGTGTCTAGCCAATCAGTCCTTTCTTTGTAATGGATCTTTTCAAGACAGGGTCTCAAGATAGGATCTCAAGAACTATTTGCCCTCCTGATCTCTACCTTCTGGGTAGCTAGAATAATAGGCATGAGCCACTGGTGCCTGGCCTGAGTTTTGCTTTGTGTGTGTTGGAGTGTGAATCCAGGGCCTGGTCATACTCAGTACATGTTCTACCATACTCCAAGCTGATTCTGAGTTTTAGTTTGCATTTTCTTAAGTGACTAATAAGGTCTAAGGTTAACTATTTTTTGTATGCTTATAAGGAATTGGGATATTTCTCATAAAGTTCTTATTCAAATGCCTCGCCTAGTTTTTTTTTTTTTTTTGAAACAGGGTCTCTCTATGTAGCCCAGGCTGGCTTCAAACTGATCATTCATCTGCCTCAGCGTCACAAGTGCTGGGATCACAGGTGTGTGTACCACCACATCCAGTCTGTTGTTAGTACTTTTTGTGGTCTAGTGTCCCTATACTCAGGTTACAATTATTTTCCTATACCACATTCTATAAATTTTATTCTTTTGCATTGGGATCAATAACACATTCCAATTAATTTTATTTTGTATGCTACACTATATATGGTGTGAAATTATCTTTTTCTCTCTCAAACAGATATCCAGATATTTATTTTTCTTTATGGGCTCATTCTTCACGTCCAGCTTTCCTTCCAAATGGCTATGCAGACGACCCATAAAGACTTAACACCCAACACCAGATGCAGAGGTACATACAGCCTGGAAGATATCTCAATGTGTGCATACAGCCTAATCCCTATAATAAATCTCTTATTTTTTATTAGTAAGTGGTTCTACTTAACTGATGAAACCCTGACTGATAAACTTTTAAAGAAGAACATAGTGGGAAGACTAACCCTATCAGATATCAAAACTTTCTTTTTTTGCAATACTGGGGCTTGAACTCAGGCCTCATGCTTGCTAGGTAGGTGCTCTATCATTTGAACCACTCCACCAGCCCTTTTTTGGTTGGATATTTTTCAATACTATTTGCCCTGGGCTGGCTTTGAACCATGATCCTCCTGATTCTGCTTCCTGAGTAGCTAGGACTATAGGCATGAACCACTGGCACCTGGCTCAAAATTTATTTTTAAGTTGCCATATTAAGGCATTATGCTATTGACATGATAAACAAATAGTCCAAATAAATAAAACAGAATTTTTTTAAATAGAGAGGGTTGGAGGCATAGCTCAAATAGTAGAGCACTTGCCTAGCATGTGCAAGGACCTTGGTTTCAATCTCCAGCACCACCAAAAAAAAAAAAAAAGCAATTGATCCACACATACATAGACCCTTGATTTATATCATGGGTGGCACTGGAACTTCTTTCTCCCAATTTCAAGACTCCAAAGAAGGAATTTACACATGGTTCTGCCTTACTCCTAGAAGAAAGTGGCCCAAGAAAAGTGGTCTGTGTGAACCAAGCAGATAATATTCGTTTCCGGTTTTTTTGTTTTTTTTTTCAGTACTGGGGCTTGAACTCAGGGCCTTCACTTTGAGCCACTCCACCAGTCCAATTTTTGTGATAGGGTTTTTCGAGAGGGTTTCACGAACTATTTGCTCAGGCTGGTTTCAAACCGTGATCCTCCTGATCTCTGCCTCCTGAGTAGCTAGAATTACAGACATGAGCCACCAGCACCCAGTTGCCCCATCCCTTTTTGCTTTAGTTATTTTTCAGATAGGGTCTGGAGCTTTTTGCCCAGGCCAGCACTGGACCTCAATCCTCCTTCTTCTGCCTTCTGAGAAGCTGGGATTACAGATGTATGCCCCCATACCTTGTCTTAAAATTCTTGTAAGGGTGAGCAGAGTGGCACAGCGGGAGCATGCTGGGCCCATAACCCAGAGGTTGATGGGTCGAAACCATCCTCTGCTATGAGTTTAAATGAATTAAAAAAAAAAATTAAAAAAAAATCCCTGTAAGGGCTATCTCCCAATAATCTCAAACAAGTTCCAAACAAGAGTATCAGCCTCTTTAAAAAAAACAATTGGCAGGGAGTGGTGGTGCTGGCCAATAATCCCAGCACTTGGGAGACTGAGGCAGAAGGACCTATACGTTCAAGACCAGTCCAGCATATGTAGTGAGACTGTCTCAAAACACCAAGGGCTAGGAGGGCTGAAAGGGCTGGTGTGGCTCAAGTGGTAAAGTGCCTGTTTAGCAAGATCAAGGCCCTGAGTTCAAACCCCATACCGGAAAAAAAAAAAAAAAAAAACAAGGGCTGGGAATGTAGCTCAGTGGTAGAGCACTTGCCTACTAGTGCTGTGTATCTGTAGTCCCAGCTAGTTGAGAGGACTGACTGAACCCAGGAATTCTGGGCCAGACTGGGCACATAAAAACAAACAAGCAAAAAGTGTAACCTTTCAGAGGTCACACTCCACAGTGGGCTGACACTAAACTCATTTTCCTTGTGTTATTCTGTGGGCTCGGGCTGTCAGCCTAAGTATTGGATGAGTTGTCTCTTCCCCTCCTGAGGACCAAGGTTGCAGTTGAGTGGAACCCCTCACCTTGAGCAGATGAGGCTAGACTGCAAGACCCCTCAACAACCAAGAGCTGTCCTGTCCCCATTTCCACCACAAAGGAAGGAAGGACACACACAACTGGCTGTATGCCTCAAATATTTATTCTTACTGGAACCTGGCCACCTGGGGGGAGTGGGGGTTTGTAGTTCTTTGCCACAGACTGATTAGGTCACCAGGGCCAGAGGATGAGAACTGGGAAGGTGGCAGCAGCCACGAGGCCTAGAATGGGATGTGGGGAGGCTTTTGAGGGCCTCCGGGGGACCTGATTGGTTAGCTGCTTGGTCACCTTCAGGTGTGTAGGCAGGTGTTTATTCTGAGGCCCAGGTACTAGGTGGGAGTGGCAGGAACTACTCAGCTTCCTGTCTGGAAATGTGGCCTCCAGAGGACTCTGGACACTGCTTTCCTCTCTCACCTGGGGGTGAGAGTCGGCAGTCAGACAACTCACAGAAACCCCCCTCCCTCTGCTTGTTCCAGCCACCGAACCCACCATCCTGCATACCTGTTCCACTTGTCTGAAAACCCGCAGCAGGTTTCCTCGAAGGACACCTTGAAGCTCTTCCTCACTCCAGCCCCGACGCAGCAACTCCTCTATCAGCACTGGGTATGTGGACACATCCTCCAGGCCCTGGGGGAAGCTGTGGGGCCACCCACCAGTCAGTCGGCTGTGGGACACTGACCCTGATCCTGGTCTAGGGTTTGAAGCATATGTGACTAAAACTGAAGGCCAAGTTCTTCAGGCTAGCAAATGCCACTTTGGAAATGTCCTGAGGATTGTAGCTCTACCAGCTGAGCACATGGTAGGTCCACAACAGATCTGTTTGGGCTGGGAGTGGCATTTGAACTGGGTTCCCTTGGTGGAAGGAAATACTTAACAAGTGTGATGACTTGGAGTGGGTCCACTGGACCACAGAAATGACAGGGAGACACATAGGAAACAGGTCCCAGGCATGGGGAGAGGTCAGGCAGACCAGAAGACCAGAGCCTTGTGGTCAAGGACTAAAGGATGGGAGAATTCCAAGATGGGGAACTAAGACTAAAAGACTCCCCACTATACCCCAACCCAACCCAAGCTGCGAGTAAGCACTCACCGGCCAGATCCATCATAATTTCCGCCAATCCCAATGAATTCAGATCCAATGACTGCCCTGATGTGGTCAAAGTGATCTAGAGGGCAGAGGTTGGTGGTTTGAAGTACAAGACTGAAGTTAAACCCTGGGACCAGCCCTGAGCTAAGGAAGCTCAGCCTTGGCTAGATTTCCTGCCTGCAGCACTTCAGGCCATGATAGTTGACTCTACAAGACAGTCACAAGTCCTGAACTGGACTCAGGCAGAATATGGGGCTGGAATAGACCTCAGAATCACCCCTTTGACCTCTTCCTGCATCTAGGTTCCCTGAGAACCTCAAAGGGCTCTGCCTGTCTTGCCCAGAGATGTGGGGAATGAAATAAGGTCAAAGATTTGGAGCAAAAACAAGAGTCAGACATGTATACACATGTAAGTAAATGTGTATACGATAAAAGAAAAGGAGAAAAAAAAGAGTCAGAAGTATCAAACCTGACTGTTCTGACTGTGGCCTCACATTTGGATGATAATAAAGAACTGAGTCTGCCATCCCTGGGTCATTGGGAGGGTGCTAGGTTGCTGGAGCTGTCTCAAGGGCTCTGGTGGCCACAGTCCAAATCAGAGCTGCGCAGAGCCAAGGTGGGACTCACCTGCCACAGTAGACACGTTAGCAAACAGGTTGCAGTGCAGCACCCCCATGGACAGCGTCACCATCACAATGCCACCATTCTTCTTCTACAGCAATAGAAAAAGGGACACTCAGCTCAGCCCTCTGGCTTGCCAGTGTGCTTCCCTTGCTGTGGAGATCCTGGCAGAACAGCATTCCATCCTGGCTTCAGGGGTTGGAAGAGGCTTTCCCTCCCTGGGTTTGCAAGTTCCCAGGTGAAACTGATTTGGCCTTGAGTTTCAGAGATGGAGGAAGATTAACCAGCCTTGGGTCCAACACTGTATGAGACCTGGGCTGATAGCTTTCTTTGTTCAGGGTCAAGAATCTTTACATAAGGCATGCCTAGCTCTGGATTTGAGGGCTGGTGTGGCTACTCACCAGTAGGTATAGGATATCATCAGGAACATTCAGCAAATTGTTGCACACAGCCCTGGCAGCTGAATGGGAGAAGATTACGGGAGCCCGAGATACCTCCAGGGTCCGTGTTACCAAAGCGTCAGAGGCGTAGGACAAGTCTATCATCATGCCCAGGCGGTTCATTTCCTCCACCACTTTCTGCAGGGACATTTGGGTTTTGGGGGACAGGGGATGTCAGGGAGCAAAAGTGTGTGCACATATCTGTAAGAAACAGGTGGGATAGGGTATGGAACAGGAGTCCTCACCTCACCAAAGTTTGTCAACCCGCTGACGTTGGTGTAGAAGGGGTGTCTGAACTTGGTGGAACTCTCTGCCCTGCAGGACAGCCAGGGAAGAACAATCTAGCTGGCCACACCTTGGCCATCAGTGATCAGGGGCCCTCTGTCCATCCATCTCACCTCCAGAACAGGTGAGGACCCAAGGCCAGCTACTTTCTAGGAGTGTGAGGGACCTGCTGGGAGTCCAGCCTCCCTCTATGGATCCCACTTTATCCTCATCTCCCTGGTCAAGCCCATCACAGGGAAGGCAATTTCCCCACCACGCTATCTGCCATTCCACCCTGGCCAGGCACTGTGCTCACCAGGGTGTGCTGCAGGTGAAGGTGAGCGCCAGATAGCGCACTCCCAGCTGATAGAAGCTACGCAGAACGGAGAGGCTACTGTCCAGTGAATGACCGCCCTCCACACCAATGAGGCAGGCCAGCTTTTGAGTGCTATTCAGACCTAGAAAAGAGTACAGAGTCAAGTGGTCAGAGCCCAGGGGTAGAAGCAGAGTAAACCCCAGACTATCTCCCCATCCACCAGCCCACCTTCAGCTGAGGTCACAAGTTCCAACTCAGAGTAGGCATCACACATGCGGCGGATGAGGTCAATCTGCTCCAGGGTGAGGCGCACAGCATCCCGGTCCTGGGTCTGGCATGGGACGTAGGCTGACCAGAACTGGGGGTAGATCCAGAGATCCAGAATGAGGCTAAGGTGGTTTCAGACACCATAGGCCTGCCATTCCTGCCTCACCCCACAGTACCCATTTGAGCCAGTGACCCCCAGTGAGACACTGATTGGGCCCATGGTACTTTGATGACTATTAAACTTGCTGCCAGTGGTGGAACTGTGGACTCACGACACATCATGGTCTGCTGTTTGTCCGTGTGCCATGTGAATGCCCCAGGGCAATTTACCATATCATTTGTGGTTTTGGCAAACCCCACTGCTCACCAGGGATTTTCTGGTCTCCACAGAACTGGTACCCATGAGGCCTCCACGCTCCCCATCACCCTCGTGATAGTGCACTGTATGCCCCATGTACTTAGTCACCTGGAGGCTGGCCTACCCAGGTTTCTGTGGCCCCCAGCATCCCCCAGCAGTCATGCTGTGGCACCCTGTGTGTCCCTGTGGTACCTGGGCACCCACGAGGCCATCGCTAAGCCTGTCCAGGCTGGTCTGGCCCTGGCTGAAATTTCGCAAATTCACATTCTGCAGCTTGTTCTGGAAACGCTCTCTCAGGAGCAGAGGCAGACTGTTGTGGCTGGGGGTATCAAGACAAGGTCAGAGTGGGAACATGGCCTGCAAGTCAGGAAGAGAATGTTAACTGACTGGGCATACCCTTTCCCACTCCACCAGGCCTCTAGAACCCCAGACAAGATGGAGATGCCTGAAGCCAGGTTGGAGGGAGGGAGGGAGGGTTCCACCAGCAATGGGGTATTGGGGGACAGCATCCAGGATGTGTTAACGAGGAGGCCTGGTTGCTAGTCCCGCATGCTCAGAACCTTCTGCGGCTCAGGGGTGCACTCAGGCCCCACTTGCGCCTCACGTAGTACCTACGCACCCATCCACAAGTGGGAAGTCCCGCATCAGGGCCCGAACACGTTCCCGTAGGCTGGGGGTGCTGGAGGTGCCCGGGGCAGTCGGGGCGCTGGAGGTGCTGGTTATGGTCTGGGCGCGGGTTACCAGCTGCGACGGCGGCAGCAGCGGCAGCAGCAGCAGGAGCAGGAACAGCAGATACAGCCGAAGCTTCCCGCCGAGCATGCAGGGACCCTTGAGGTCGGTGAGCTGCATGTTGCGCAGGGACAGGTAGACGGACACGGGTGACCCTCGCGAGAACCTGAGACTGGCAGGCGAAGATCAGAGGGCGACCATGGGGGTCCCGACCGTCGACACAGGTGACCCAGGACGCGGCCTCACTTGGAGAGGCTTGCACTCACGCTACTCTGCAACGCACGCGCGGGGATCCTCCACGCAGCCAAGCGCAGCCGCCAGGGGGCGCCAGGGCCTTCCCGCTCCCAAGTTGGATGGCGCCCCTATGGGCCCGGCGGGCATCAGCATGCAGAGTGCATCTACCCGCCACCCGCCGCTCTGTAGCTTTGGCCCTGCACCTGCCTTGCTGTGTAGCCCAGTCTGGCTCTGTGGACCCGCAACTGGGGGAGGACCCTAGAGGGGAACTGGGAGGGGGGTCCAGTGATCCTACTCTCACTTCCTAGCTGTGCTCACGTCTGAGCTTAGCTGCCTGGATAGTCCCCGCCCCAACAGGTCAACTATTCCATGCAATTATAAGCTCTATTCAGAAAAGTGAATTCGTGAACTATGTTTTGTTTTTGCTTTGGTTTCGTTGTTTTTGAGATAGGTGGTCTCTCTGTGTTGCCTAGCCTGGCCTTAAACTAAGCTCAATCCATCCTCATCAGTAAGCTTAACAAGCAAATAGCCGGGACTATAGTGTGCACCGTCAAGCCTGGCTGATTCGTATGTTTTGAGTGACAGAAAAGATCCTATCCTAGGCTGGTGGCACCAGCCTGTAATCCTGGCACTCTAGAGGCTGAGACAGGGAGATGAAGAGTTCGGGGCCAGCCTAGGTTTATTTAAGGACACTGCATTAGGAAAAAAAAATCATGTTGGACTGGGGATGTAGCTCAGTGGTTAAGTGTTTGCCTAGCATGCACAAGGTCCTGCGTTTGATCCCCAGTACCGGGGGAAAAAAAATCATGTTAAGGGAAGGGCACTAGAAGGAGGGAGAGGGTAAAAGACAAAAGTAAAGGAAGGTGAATATGATTGATGTACTTTCACTACAAGTATGAACAACAACAAAAAAACTTGGGCAAAATATGAGAAAACATTTTCTTGCACTGGAGATGTAGCTCAGTGGTAGAGTGCTGCCTATCATGTGTGACACCTGGTGTTCAATCCCCACCATCACAAATAAACAAAGCCATAAACAAGTATCTTTTTTTGTATGTGTTTGGCACTGGGGTTTTAACTAACAGCCTCACGCTAGCTGCTTACGCCACTCCCCCAGCCTTTTTTATGATGGGTTTTTTCAAGATAGGGTCTCCCCAAACTATCTTGCTGGCCTGGAACCACAATCCTCCTGATCATTGTCTCCTGAGTAGCTACGATTACAGGTGTGAGGTGCCAGTACCTGGTCCAAATATCTTCTTGAAGGCACCTGAGCATTAGGACAATACTGAAAAGGGCAGGAGGTGTAGTGGTAGAGGGCTTGCCTAGCATGTTTGAGGCTCTAGATTGATCCCTATCACCACTGTAGGGAAATTCACTACATTTAGGCTAATCGCCAACAGAAGTGCACTAAGTATATCTAGAGATAGGGGCACTATTTCTTTGTAACCACTGAAGGACAACTAGTTATGTAACTATGACTGGGTTTGCATGAGCAGTAGATGTAATAACTTGACTGGATGCTTGCCTATATCTATAAAAACTGGGCAGCACGCTTCATCTCTAGAATGCCCAAATCATGGACCCATCTACTTGAAGCAGCAGACTTCTGATCTACAACCGCAAACACCAAAAAAAAGCCCTGAAGAATTACTTGGCAAAGATCCAGGCTAGACATCTAAACTGATAAGCCTGGCCTTTGGTCTGTTTCTTCCTCTTTTTTTTTTTTTTGTGGTCGTACTGGGACTTGAACTGAGGGCCTACACCTTGAGCCATTCCACTAGCCCTTTTTTTTGTGTTAGGTATTTTCTAGATAAGGTTTCACAAACTATTTGCCCAGGCTGGCTTCAAACCATGATTCTCCTGATCTCTGCCTCCTGAGTAGCTAGGATTACAGGTGTGAGCCACTGGTGCCCCGCTGTTTCTTCTTCTAATGGCATTGTGGGGCCAAAGAGACTGACACTGCCATCCTTAATAAAGGAGGACACTAATGAACACTCTGAGTTGGAGCACCAAGGTTAGTGCCCCCAGGTCTGCAGCGATTGTGGTTATTAAGCAATTACTTCTCAATTCCAGATGGAGCCGCCTAGTTCCTGATTTGTAATTTGGAGGCTGAAACTGAAGAAACCATGTTGTCTAGACCTCTTGCCAGCAGGCTGCCTATTCCCTTCTGCCAATAGGATTCTCAGAGGGAAAGAGATTATTGACAAGGAGGAAAGAAGGTGTCTTTCCTATTTTCCTAGTTCCTTTCATCTGCACCAGTAATGGCAACTGGGTCCAGTGTCCAGCTTCTTCCGGCTGTCACAGATCAGCCTTGCTGTGTCTATTCACTCACAGGGCAGAAACCTTCCCTAGAATTGGAGCCCCAGAGCCACAGGACCATCCTCCAGGCATCTGGGTTCTACTAACAACCCCTCTTCTCCTTTGTTCCCACGTCCTAGGAGGTGGCAGCTTCTTAAATTTATTGTCTTAGTTTACCTTAATGTCACCTTTGTGCCTTTCCAGCCCAGTGTAACCAGTTCCCACCATTTTTAAATACTTAAGGTGATCTCTTGCCGGGCACCAGTGGCTCAGGTCTATAATTCTAGCTACTCAGGAAGCAGAGATCAGAGGATGCTGGTTTGAAGTCAGCTAGGGCAAATAGTTCAGGAAACCCTATATCGAAAAAAACCATCACAAAAGAGGACTGGTAGAGTGGCTCAAGTGTTAGAGTGCCTCCCTAGCAAGTGTGAGGTCCTGAGTTCAAACCCCAGTACTGTCAAAAAAAAAAAAAGTGGTCACTTTTCCTAAAGGGATCCCGATATATCAATTCAGCTTGGAGGCATCTGAAATGGAATTAAGGCGATCTCAGAGTGCTATTCAATCCATACAAAAAGAGACAAAAAAAGAACAGAACAGGTGAAATGAATAGAAAGCACTACTGGAACTTTCTCAGTAACTCTGAAGAGTGAAGCCGATGTGGATCATGGAGGCAAAAGTTAAGGTGTATTCCTATATAGATTTTAATCTGGTTTCTGTTTATTCTTTTTAATACAGTGCTGTGATTGAACCCAGGGTCTCACACATGCAAGGCAAGGACTCTACCACTGAGCTAGAGTCTTGTTATGTAGCTCAGGCTGGCCTCAAATTAGAAATCCTCCTGCCTCAACCTCCTGAGTGCTGGAGTTACAAATGTGTTCTACCTCAACTGGCTTCTAATACAGTTTTTGTAGATAAACTTTCCATGCATTGAAGTAGTTGAAAAAATATTTTAAAACTGAAAAGCGGATATAATTAAAATTAACATTATTTTACATTTATGTATTTCATTAGTATGTAAATCAAAAATTGTTAAAATTTTATTTTTCTGGGGGGAGGACATAAGGAAAGGGTGTAGGAAGGTGAACATGGCGGAAATACTATGTTCTCATGTATGAAAATGAAATAATGAGACTTGTTGAAACTATTCCAGGAATGTGGGGTAGGGGAATAAAGAAGAATAATACATTGTAAGAACCTTTGTAAATGTCACAATGTACTCCCAGTACAAGAATATGATAAAAAAAAGTACTTAAAATTATTTATGTATGTATTTTAATGAAATAAATGAGTATGCTAATGAAAAAAATTCTACTTTTCTAGCCTCAATGGATGCAAACTCATCAACAATTTTTTTTTTTTTGCAACATTGGAGATCAAACCCAGGGCCTCACACATGCTAGGCAATCATTGTACTACTGAGTTGGACCTCCAACCTTCAACAATCTTTCAAAACCTACTTCTTTGCTTACCTAATTTTTTATTGGGAGATTGCATGTTTGCAAGTTCTCTTGATGAAGTGATGAATTTAAGACTTTTTTTTTTTTTTTTGCAGTGATAGATATGAAACCCAGGGCCTCATGCATGCTAGGAAAGTGCTGTACCACTATTCTGCACCCCAGCCCTTTAATTAGATTTTAAGTAACTTTAGTTTATTGAAACTTTATTTATTTATTTACTTACTTATTTATTGGCAGTACTGGAGTTTGAACTCAGGGCCTACACCTTGAACCACTCCACCAGCCCTTTTTTTGTTCTTTTTTTTTCTCCAAAATAATATTTATTTTTATTATTATTACCATTTTTTTGCACTAAGTTGTACAAGAACGTGTGTTACGTGATGGGTGACAGGGTGGCCGACCTTTGTGGCCAAGCCTTTTTTATATGTGTTTCTCTTGTTTTTTGGTTTGAACTCAGGGCCTCACGCTTGCTCCACCAGCCCTTTTTTGTGATGGGTTTTTCAGAGATAGGGTCTCTCAAACTATTTGCCTGGCCTGGCTTCGAACCTTGGTCCTCCTGATCTCTGCCTGAGTAGCTAGAATTACAGGTGTGAGCCACCAGTGCTCAACACAAAATCCAGAACTTTTAAGAGGCAAATTAATGGCTACTTTTGACAAAATAAATGTATTCATAGATCATCTTTTCAGAATCTAGGCAGGCATGATGGTTCACATTTGTAATCCCAGCACTTGAGGCAGTAGGATTGCAGGTCTGAGGCCAGCCTGGACTATAATGGTGAGTTTGAGGCCATCTTGGGTTGCAAAGTGAGACCCTGTTCCCAAAAAAACAAACACACACTCACATACACAAAACCAAACCAAACCAAACCAAAACCCTATTGGGTGCAGTGGCTCACATCAATAATTCTAGCTACTCCAGAGGTAGAATTGGGAGGACTTCACTTCAATGCCAGTCCAAGAAAAAAGTCAATAAAAAGTTGGGTGTGATGGCAAGCATCTGTCATCCTAGCTGTGCAAGAATCATAACTAGGGGGATGGTAGTCCAGGTTGGCCTGGTCATAAACTTGAAACCTTATTCAAAAAATACCTAAAGCAAAATGGGCTGGGGCTTGACTCAAGTGATAGAGCTTCTGCCTACTGAGCTCAAGGCCCTCAGTTCAAACTACAGTACTGCCAAAAAAAAGAGAGAAAATTAAAATCTGAAAAGATTGTTTATACCTCTATTTCAAATATGTAATTTGGGCATCTATAATCATAGTTTCTGCTTAGTATGTGCTTTTCCCAAAATAATTGATATTTTCATGAGATGAATTTCTACATTTCTCATTTCTCTGTGCTTTTGTTTGGCCTGAAAATGTATTTTCTTTTCTTTTTTGGCAATACTGGGTGTTGAACTCAGGGCCTCACACTTGCTAAGCAGATATTCCACCTCTTGAGCCATTCCACCAGCCCTTTTTCCTGTTGGTTATTTATGCCCAGGATGGCCTGTACAGGAATTCTATTTGTGCTTTCCCTTGTAGCTGGGATGACCAGGGCTTGCCACTGGGCCCAACTATTAGTTCAGATGGGTCTGAACAACATTTTTCCAGGCTGACCTTGAGCCTTAATCCTCCCAATCTTGCCTCAAAAATGGCTAGAATTAGAGAATTACAGTCTTGAGTCACTGTGCCCAGCTTTTTTTGTTTTTGGAGGCACTGGAGTTTGAACTCAGGGCTTTGCACTTACTAGGCAGGCACTCTACCACTTAAGCCACTCCACCAGCCCTTTTTTGTGATGGGTTTTTCTTTTCAAGATAGGGTCTCAAGAACTGTTTGTCCAACATTAGATCAAGGGCAAACACAACAAGGGGATTGAACTTTGAGCACATGATAAAAGCGAGAGCACACAAGGGAGGTGTGAGGATAGGTAAGACACCTAAAAAATTAGCTAGCATTTGTTGCCCTCAATGCAGAGAAACTAAAGCAGATACTTAAAAGCAACTGAGGCCAATAGGAGAAGGGGACCAGGAACTAGAGAAAAGGTTAGACCAAAAAGAATTAACCTAGAAGGTAACACACACTCACAGGAAATCAATGCAAGTCAACTCCCTGTATAGCTATCCTTATCTCAACTAGCAAAAACCTTTGTTCCTTCCTATTATTACTTATACTCTTTCTTCAACAAAATTAGAGATAAGGGCAAAATAGTTTCTGTCGGGTATTGAGGGGTTGGGGGGGAGAAGGAGGGGGTGGAGTGGGTGGTAAGGGAGGGGGTGGGGGCAGGGGGGAGAAATGACCCAAGCATTGTATGCATATATGAATAACAAAACAATAAAAATTAAAAAAAAAAAAAGAACAGTTTGTCCAGGCTGGCTTTAAACCCGATCCTCTTGATCTCTGCCTCCTGAGTAGCTAGGATTAGAAGTGTGAGCCTCTGGCACCTGGCTTTGTTTTATTTTTTTGAGACAGGGTCTTGCTATGTAACCCAGGCTGGCCTCAAACTCGCCATCCCTTCTGCCTCTGCCTCCTGAGTACTGAGATTACAGAATACAGTCACCATACCTGGCTATATTTTTCCCTCATTTAAAGAATATTTTTACACAGAACTCAGTATTAGTAATTACTTTCATTCATTGGGTTAAAGATATTTTACTGTGTGGGGGCCTCTATTATTTCTGTTGAAAATTTAGCTATCAATTTTATTTTTGCTCCTCAAGTTAATGTGATTTTTTAAAAAATTACTGTCTTTGGTTTCTCAAAGTTTGACTCTGAAGGGCACAGTCTGGTGTCATTATGAATACTGCTGCTATAAATATGATTTCATTTGCCTTTTAGGCAATGTATGTATGCATTTATGTTGGATGAAATTGCTCAATCATGAGGTCTGCATAGACTATTTGTATTTACCATTATTTTTATTAACCATTATCTATTATTGCCATATATTATGTTTAGCTGTCAGTATTAACTCTTAATATTACCTATTATTATTGTAGTTGCTATTAGGTACCAAGGGTTTAGGGGTAAGATGAGCTGGATACAAAAGAAGCTTGTGCTTCCCTCAGGGGAAGTCCCTGAGGGATGGAGGATGGTCACATGCAGTACAGTCCAGCTATTAGAAGCCCACGACCCATTATATGGCCTGATATTCTAGGCTTTGTTCAAAGAGGAACAAAGGTTATTCATGATCCCAGCAGGATTCCTTCTTGGGAATCTGAAGCAGAATTCCCTGAGAGATCCCTAGGGTGTGGTCAGTGGTTTGGCATGTGGATTGAGATGAGCTACTTGAAGGGAACCAAAGTAGGACCCATAGCCAGATCCCACAGCCAGATCCACCCAGGGCTGGGCCCAACCACCTGGGCCACCTCAGGCCACTGCCAATAGGTCTTCCTTGAGCAAATGGTGGCTGAAATGCCAGGTCCCCCAGCAACCACCAACACTGGGAGCCTGTGCCACAAGACTCTACCACAGAGTGGGAGACTGACATCTGGTTCCATTTCCCAAACATTTATTTCCAGGAAATGTTTGTGCCTGCCTGGGGGGAGGTCTTTATGGAATTCAAAGATGCCAGAGGACCGTCAGGACTAATTGGGTCACCAGAACAACAGGATTAGGACTAGAAGGTTGGCAACAGCAGTGAGACCTGGGACCATGGAAGGGGAAGATTTTGAGAATGATGACCTGGATGAAAACTTGGCTGTCCAATGTTTTGGCATCTCAGTTAGCTTCTGGCCTGGAACCGGATGCTGTTTTGGACGCAGACGCTGGAGATCCGAGTGGCAAGCGCTGCCTAGATGCTCCTGTGGGACCATGTCCTCCAGAGGGCTTTGCCTCTTGTTTTCCTTCTGTACCTAGAAATGGCATTTGGTGGTCCCGATGGTCCCGCCAGGTCCTGGTGGTCCCACCAGGTCCCGATATGCACCTGCTCTGACCACTGTACCACCCTCTTGCCCAGCCCAGCATACCTGTTCCACTTGTCTGAAAACCCGCAGCAGGTTTCCTCGAAGGACACCTTGAAGCTCTTCCTCACTCCAGCCCCGACGCAGCAACTCCTCTATCAGCACTGGGTATGTGGACACATCCTCCAGGCCCTGGGGGAAGCTGTGGGGCCACCAGGAGGTAAGCCTCAGATCTGGTACCCTGATCTCAATTCAGAATGCCTGCCCTGTGTGTCCCGGGTACACTGTACCCCAGCTCTGGTCAGATGTGGGAGATGGAGACTTTGAGAGAGTGAATGATTCACTTCTGTTCTTCATCCTTCAGAGGATGAAGACCTTCTTGAATATTTGCCAAAACCAACTGAACTGTACTATTAAGATCTATGCCTTATGCTTAATGCAAATGTCCCCTTCATTAAAAAAGAAAAGAAGGCCGGGAGCCAGTGGCTCATGCCTATAATCCTAGCTATTCAGGAGGCAGAGATAAGGACAGCTAATAGTTCACGAGACCCTATCATGAAAAAACCCATCATGAAGGGCTGGTGGGGTGGCTCAAGGTGTAGGCCCTGAGTTCAAACCCCAGTACTGCTAAAAAAAAAAAAAAAAAAAGAGGGGCTGAAGCCAGGCACCAGTGACTCACACCTGTAATCCAAGCTACTTGAGAGGCTGAGATTGGGAGGATCACAATTTGAGGCCAGCCTGGGCAAATAGTTCATGAGACCCTATTTCCAAAAAAACCAGAGCAAAATGGACTGGTGGTGTGGCTCAAGTGTTAGAGTGTGCCTGCCTAGCAAGTGCATAAGTCTGAAGTTCAAACCACAGTTCTACCAAAAAAAAAAAAAGTGGTCAAAGTTGTAGCTCGGTAGTAGAGTAGTTGCCTAGCATGGGCCTAGCCTGTGCTAGTTTGATTCCCAGAATTGCCCAGAAAAAAAAATAAACAAACCTAAAAAAACAAAAACCAAAAAAACAAATAAAAGCTTCCTCATAACTAGGTAGAGAACAGATAGATGGTCAGCTAACATTGCTGACAGTCACAGGGAGTGGGGCCTACTGGGGCTGGAGTTGGATGCGTATGTTGGGTGAATGAGCTCTGGTGGCTTAGACAAGTATGATGTCTTAGAATGGGGTCATGGGCTGAAGATAGGAGACTCTGGGATTGGAGAGACACCAGGTGAGCAAGGCCTAAAAGCTGTGAGGAGCATGGGTGGTTAGGCATGATGACTGTGAAGTCCCCACTGCTTTTAGGCAGCCCTTGACAAGCCACGTGGAGGTACTCACTGTCTGGTGCCATCATAATCTCCGCCAATTCCAATGAACTTGGATCCAATGACTGTCTTGACGTGGTCAAAGTGATCTAGGGAGATGGAGAGTCAGTAGTGTGGGGCTTTCAAAGCAGGGGTAGTCTAGGAGCCAATTCCTTTGTATAGCCTGCAGGTCATGTAGATCATTTCCTTCATGACCAGGAACCTTGTGTGGCCACCTGAAGGTCCTGAGGTTTGAGCTGAACTGATCCTAGCTTCAGGTTTGGAATGAACCCATTGGGAGAGCCACCACTTGTGCCATTTCCCGTCCAGAGTCACCCTGCCTCCAGTCTCTTTAAGAACCTGGTGGATGCTTCTTTCGAGGGGTGTGGAAATGAGAAAGAAACAAAGAGTAGAGCTGACAAACACTTGAAGCAGAAGCAGGGGCAGAGGGCTTTGGTAGCCCTTGTAAAGGTACAGATGTTGAGCACCCAGCTCTATATCACGACAGTATAGACTCTATCTCTGGTTCCATATAGCACCAAGGTACTGTGTACTGTCCATTATGGGATTTTTCAAACCACTGGGGTTGTGCTGATGCATGCCAAGGGCTTCAGGTCCAAATCAGACCTGTTCGTGAGCCCAGGGGCTAGTGGGAAGCTCACCTGCCACAGTGGACACATTGGCGAATTGGTTGCACTCCATCACCCCTACAGACAAGGACATCATCACAATGCCACCATTCTTCTTCTGCAAGGATGATGGAATGGACACTCAGTTGACCCGGCACAACCACATCCTGCCCACCCCATGGGGCCCTGTAAGGAAAATGATGAGCCTTGGCTTTGGGGGTCACAGGAGACTCTCTGGTTTTGTGTGAATGGGGGAGTCTTGACAGTGGAGGTGTCTTGGCTCTGGATTTGAAGGGTGGGGACTGGAGGTGTGGCACAAAGCCCTGAGTTCAAACCCCAGTCCCACCAAAAAAAAAAAAAAAAAAAAGGATGGATTTTGAAGGGTGGAGGAAGATCTAGACACCTGTCTTCATATTCAGGGGCTATGGACTGTGGGTTTATAGGGCAGATGTTCAGCCTGGATCTCAGAAAATTAAGGAAACAGTGAGTCAAGTTTAAGGCCTCTTGAGCTGAACTTTTGCTTTAGGTCCCAGGGCCAGGTAGTTTCTCACCAGAAGTTGCAGGATGTCATCAGGAACATTCCGAGGATCCTTGCACACACTCCAGGCAGCTGAGTGTGAGAAGATCACAGGTGCCTGTGACACTTCCAGGGCCCGCTGTGCCACAGCACTGGAAACATGGGACAAGTCTATCATCATGCCCAGGCGATTCATTTCAGCCACCACCTTCTGCAGGGACAAGTTAGGAGAAGAGTGTCAGGGGTGCACTTGTGCGCACATTTATCTGTAGGGAAAGATGGCGAGTGTGCATTTGTGTGGGGTGGGATATGAACTAGGGTCCTCACCTCACCAAAGCTGGTCAGTCCACTGACATTGTTGTAGAAGGGGTGGGTATCCTTAGACGAACTTTCTGCCCTGCAGAATGGCCAAGAGGCAGGTCTCACTGGTGGGCATGCCTTAGCCACAAATTCCGAGAGGTTCCACCAAACCCTCTATCCCTAAAAGCACTTGGAGCAAACTTAAGGACCCAGGATGTACTGTACTTGGCAGAAGGAGGGATCCAGTCTTGCTCTGTGAACCCCAGAATACCAGCTCTCCTCCCATTCTAAGTTCAATGTCAGATCCTGGAGTAAAGATTGGTCTAGGCATTTGGTATGACCTCAGGCAGATCCCTGCCTCAGTGGACCCATACCATCTGCCCCGTGCTCACCAGGGAGTGTTGCAGGTGTGGGTGAGCGTCAGGTAGCGCACTCCCAGCAGATAGAAACTGCGTAGCACGGAGAGGCTACTGTCCAGTGAATGGCCGCCCTCCACGCCAATGAGGCAGGCCAATTTCTGGGTGCTGTTCAGAGCTGGGGGCAAGTAGGACAGATAATTACTCTCAGGAGCTAGAGCACCTCCATCAAGTCTCTAACACCCTTCATCAGTCCACCTACCATCAACAGAGGTCACAAGCTCCAGCTCAGGGTAGGTGGTACAAATTCGATGAATGAGGTCAATCTGCTCCAGGGTGAGGCGTACAGCATCCCGATCCTGGGTCTGGCATGGGACATAGGCTGACCAGAACTGGGGAAAAAGGACAGGGGTTGACTTGGGCACAGCTGCTTTGGGGCTCCTCAGGCCTCCACAGCCAACACAGCATCCAGTGGGCTCAGAGGTCATATGTAATGCACCAGTTGTTCTGTAGTACCTTCATGCCCACCAAGCTGGCTCACTGTAGCCTCCGCAGCCCCAGCATCATATCATGGTACTTTCTGAGTTCCTTTGATAACTGACCTCCCATCTAACTTGTGATCTCTACTGGCCCCTCTCTTTCCAGCATTCCCCAGCAGCTATGCTGTGGTACTCTGTGTGTCCCTGTGGTACCTGGGCGCCTACGAGGCCTTCTCTAAGTCTATCCAGGTTGGTCTGGCCATGGCTGAAATTTCGCAGGTTAACATCCTGTAGATTTGTCTGGTAAAACTGCCTCAGGACCAGGGGCAGGTCATTGTGGCTGAAAGGAAGTCAAGGAAGGGTCAGGTCAGGAACAAATGGGTTGGTCCCTTAGTTTTCAGGTCAGGCAGGATCCTGGGGGTCCCCAACCACACTACTGCCCACACATAGGCCCTTATGAGGCCTGAGCTGGGAGGTTCTCTCCACAGAGGGAATGATATATGGTAGAGGAGGGGAAAGGGCACCCACAGATGAGGGGAGAGAGGGCATTAAGGGGTGAGTGGTATAAGAGAGCCCTCTTCGCTAGCCCTGGATGTTCAGAACCCTCCCCTGCCCAGAGGTGACCTCAGCACCCATTCACTCCCTCCCCCGACTCCTTCCACACCTACTCACCCGTCCACAAGCCGGAAGTTCTGCATCAGGGCCCTAGCACGCTCTCGCGGAGAGGGGCTCGATGGAGTCAGGGCGCTGGGGGTGCCTGGCGTGGTCTGGGCGCTGGAGGTGCTCAGCGTGGTGGGGGCGCTGGGGGGGACCTGAGTGATCTGGGTGTCTGGCGTGATTTGGGCGCGGGTTACCGACTTCGAGGGCACCAGCAGCAGCAGCAGCACAAGCAGCAGCAGGAACAGAGAACTCAGCCGAGGCCTCCATCCTACAGTGTGGAGACCTTCGAGGCCCACGGACTGCATGTTGCTCGGGGTGGGATAGGCGGGCAGGGGTGGGATAGGCGGGCAGGGGTGGCTGGCCTGAGAACTTGAAGGAGCAGAAGCCAATGATAGAGTCCCGACTCTCGATTCAGCCGGGCCTCCCGAGGAGCGGATTGAAGTCACCAGACCCTGCAACAGCCACGCGGAATATCACAAAGCCGCGCAGCACAGCCGCCAGGGGGAGCCACGACCCTCCAGCCCAGGTCTCAAAGGGCGCCCCCGCGGGCTTGGCAGGCCTCTGCCGCGAGCACTATCGCCCGCTCCCTTCATCTCTCCCTTTCTCGCCCTGCACCTCTCCGGGGAGGCCAACCCAGGTGGCATTCTCGTTGCCTGTAGGGCTTGGCTCTCCCAGACAGTGCCCTCGGCCCTGCGGCCTTTCCAAACCCCATCACATTCCCAACTGCCTACAGCTTACCCTGGCCACTTTTAGGGCCACATGTGAGGCTGTGGCCATAGTGTTCTGGGTTCTGGGTTTCCTGGCTCTAGGCCAGGTAGGGTGGGCATAGGGAAGGATAGTCTCTGGATATGAGAGTTAATCTTGTGGACTCTAGTTCAGGAGCCTTATGACCTAATCTTCTCTTTCCTACCTTATCTGCTCCTATATCCATCCCTTAGGGCTGTCAGGAGCACTTCTTCCCCTTGTAATCTCCAACCATCTTCATGAATTCATTCCTCTTTAGGAGATGCTATACCTGTCCAGGACTCTCGTGGCGGGACATTTGGTATGAGAACTGAGCAAACATATACTGAGGATCAGGGAACACTCAGTAGAACAGGAACTCTGTCAGTCAGCTATTTGGGTGGGAGGAAATGAAGTAACTTCCAGGGTAGCAGAGCTTTGCACCCCAGCCCTTCTTCCCAGGGCTGCTGATCTACCTGCTGGTCAGGCTTCTTCCTACCTCATTGCAGAATCCAGGTCAGAAATGGTTCTAAGGAAAGGCCTGACACCGGGGTCTTGGGTCTTGTGGATCCTGTGGTAAGAGTTCTCCCAGAAACCTCAAGGTTTAGCTTGGTTCCCTTCCTTGCCTTGTAGGCCCCACCCTGGCCCTCATCTTTGCTGCTTCCTCTAGAAACCCCCCAGTCTCAAAATGTACACACCCGCACATTCATGGTGATGTGCCTCTACTGAAGTCCCACTACTTGAGAGGCTCCCAGAGCTGTGCCCAGACTTCTTCATCCCTAGAGACCTTTTCTTGCTCCTGTCCCTCAGCCTCTCAAGATTCTGCTCTGAATCCTGGCACCCCTTGGAGCTGCTCCATTTTTGGAATCTTCCTCAGGTAGCAAGACTGACCAGTGCATAAGACCTTGGAGACGCAAGAAGGCTTCCCAAAAAAATTAATTGAGCAAACTCTTCCAAAGGCACTACCAAGAAGAGGTCTGGAGCTACCAAGGAGAAAGTGTTCCCAGCAAGGGACTGTGCACTTCATGTCCTGTGCCTACTCTCCAGGAGGAAGGTGAATCAATTGGCCTTGTGCTAGAGGTGGGTCAAGTCCTTTCCTACTGCAGTTGCAGAATTCTATTGGGCGGCCTGGTGCAGTGAGTTCTCCAGGGTTCTGCTTCAGACAATAGCAGGATGTATCCTTGCCCCTGGTGATTGGAGCACCCCAACTCAGTCCTGGCTCCCTTTCTTTCCCCACTGTGCATTGGTCAGCAGTGCCCCCTCCCTGCCATGTAGCCAAGTGGCAAGAGGGAGAAAAAACTCTTGGGTTTACTGGGCAAATGAACACTCACATCTAAGTGGTAAGCATGTTTTAGCCAACAAGGTGGCCCCTTAACTTCATCCAATGCCATCTCTTTGCCCTGCCTCTTGTAGGGAAAACAAGGATATATTAGTGAAGCTTGTCCTATGATCCCTCCCTCCCAGTACCAGTGTCACAGACCTGGACACAGGGACAATTTGGGAAATGAGGCTATGGCAAAAGTCCAGGTGGTAGCAGTAGGCATAAGTGGAGACAGGGCAGGGGCAGGGAGCCTCAGGGGCTGACTCTAAAGCTGACCCTAAGTGTTACCTCTGATACCTTTTCACCATCTCCCCTTGTCTCTCACCATGGCATTTTCAAATCTTGCTGCCTCAACCTGGAAATGTCTCCCAAGTGTCTCTTCTCAGTTCTTACTGACTTCACTAGTAAAGACCACCTCCATCTCTCACTTCCTGCTGGTCTTGCTTCCTCCAGTCCATTCCCCACAGAGAAGCCACACCTACCCTTCTATTTTTTATTTTATTTTGGTGGTACTGGAGTTTGAACTCAGGGCTTCACACTTGCTAGGCAGGCACTCTACTACTTGAGCCACTCTACCATCTCTGTCTCTACTTAAAAAAAGTCAGGGTTGGGGCTGGAGGTGTGGGTCAAGCAGTAGAGGGCCTGCTTTGCAAATGCTAAGCCCTGAGTTCAAACCCCAGGCCCACCAAAAAAAAAAATAAACCAAACCAAAAAAGTCAGGGTTGAGTTAGGTGCCAATGGCTTACACCTATAATCCTAGCTACTCAAGAGGCAAAGATCAGGATGAGCCAAGGTTCAAAGTCAGCCCAAGGCAAATGCAAGACCCTATCTCAAAAAAAACCCAAAAAACAAAAAAACAAAAACCCATCACAAAAAAGGCTTGTGGAGTGCTCAGGCTGTAAGAGAACCTGCCTAGCAAATGTGAGGCCCCAGTGCTGCCAAAAAAAAAAAAATTAAAGAATAACCAGATGCTGGTAGCTCACACCTGTAATCCTAGCTACTCAGGAGGCAGAGATCAGGAGGACTGTGATTCAAAGCCAGCGTGGGCAAATAGTTCGCAAGACCCTATCTCAAAAAAACTAACACCAAGAGGGCTGGTGGAGTGGCTCAAGATGTAGGCCCTGAGTTCAAACCACAGTACTGCAAAAATAAATAAATAAATGTTAGGGTTGGAGGGCTATAGGCATTATAACAAGCACAATACCCTGAGTCAAACCCCAGTATTGTTGGGGGGAAAAAATCAGTCAGGGTTGGGGATGTAGCTCAGTGGCAGAATACTTGTCTAACATGGTGACGGTCCTGGGTTCAGTCCCCAGCACTGCAAGTAAGCAAGCAAACAAACAAACAGAAAAAGTTTTCTGGCTTGCTAGGCATGGTGGCTTACACCTGTAATCCTAATACTCTGGGAGGCTGTGGCAGGAGAATCTTGAGTTAGAGGTCAGCCCAGGTAAAGTTAGCAAAACTCTATCTCAAAAACAAAATACATACAAAAGGTCCGGGGAGTGGGGCAGGGTTCAAGTGGTAGAGCTCTTGCCAACCATGTGTGAAGCCCTGGGTTCAATCCGTAGTGTCCCTCCCCGCTCCAAAAAAGAAAAAAGACAGGAAATCTTGCTGCCAGGAAGGGATAGGTAGGATCAGGGGGATCAGCTTCCCCCCCTCTAACTTCTTACCTATGCATTATTGACACAAATCAAGACCTGCAGGAACTCAAGTGGAGTGGCTCAAGTGGTAGAGTGACTGCCTAGCAAGTGTGAGGCCCTGAGTTCAAACCCCAGTACCACAAAAAAAAAAAAAAAAAAAAAGAGAGAGAGAGAGAGAGACCTGCAAAGTCAGCAGTGGTATAAACAAGTTTCTTCTGGGACCAAACTTATTCTGGTGGCCAAACTGACTCACCACTACTGTTAACCGGAATATTGAGGTTATGCAGGAAAGTAAAAGTCAGGCTGAGTTACAAGTGCACAGACTGCAAGGGTGGGTGAAGGTGAAAGCTAACTCACTACCCAGCATTGCGCAGATGGGGTCTCCCCAGTCCTGGAGTCTCATGTTGCTCCTACCTCTTTTCAGATGTTGCACTGGGTCTGTTCCCATAATAACTAACAGTCAAATTCCCCCCTAAAATGAAAGTCTTCCATACCAGGAAACAGCTTGGCCACCACGAGCACACATCCTCCCGTCAACAAAGCTGAGGCCACCCTTCCTGAAATGGCAAATGGCACATTTTTCTTCCTCAAAAGGCAGCTGATTTTTATCTTGCTAGGAGAAGTGTAGTAACCACTAAGGCATCTCTCCCTCCTATTTCCATCCAACCTCCCCACCCCTATTTTTCTTTCCTGCACACTTACCAGCCTCTCCGTTAAAGTTCCTGGGCTGCTTTTTGAGGGAGATGACTGATGACTTCAGTCCCATTTGTACCACTGGACTCCCCTTCTAGGGGACTCATGCAGTATGGAGGATCCTGTATGTAAGATCTTTAGAGCAAAACCACATGTGGTGTCTGATAGGCTTGAAGTTCCTGATGGAAACAATATTCTCATGTGTACAGCCCACAGGTTTGGAGTCTTTGTCTTAAGTTGGTTTGCATGCTGTCCCATATCCATGAATGGCTTCAGCTGGGAGTCCCAGACAGGCTATAGGAGCCTGGGGTGTAGAAGCTAGTTTCAGTAAGACCTTAATGGTAGTCCTGGGATTCAGATGCCCTCCCCCAAATGTTGCTATCTAGTTGCCTGGAGAGAGGGGCATATCATGGAGACTTCTGCCTTCCAAGCCCTCTCTGTGACTTACCTTCTCTGGGACATGGAGAAGCCTCCACTCTCTGATTCAGGCTTTGCTGTGACCGCTCCTTCTTTCTTCTCCTCCTCCTTTTCTTCCTCCTTCTCCTCCTCCCAACAGTCCATAGTGTTTGCTCACTGCTTAGCTGGTAAGTAAATTTGGTGAGGCCACAACTACCCTATTCTGGCTCCTAGCCCTACACCACTGGCACACAGCAAGGCCACAAGCAACACCAAAGAGTGAGTGTTCTTGACATTTCAGAGGCTGCTGCTGCCCCTTCCTTCCCAGAACAAGAGCATTTGATAAAGGTGACATGAGAGCAGTCAAAGTGACTGTTGGTCCAGAGCTTTGCTATCAGTTCAACATGTTTTAGCCCATTCAATCCTCACAATACCCTACTGAGTTTTTTTTTTCATACTGGGATTTGAACTCAGGGCCTCACACTTGCTAGGTAGGAGCTTTTTCACTTGAGCCACTCTGCTAGCCCCAGGTGGGTTTTTACCAGCCTTGCTTTCTAAGTGATAGGGCAGAAAAGTGGTCACAGTAATGCTGAGGCAGATAAGAGTTCCTTGAATCCTTCCACTTCCAGTTGCTGTCCCTCTCAACAGGAAAGACCTCTTTCCATCCATCTGTTTGTTCAGACATCCTGTCCTGGTCACTCATGGGTGCTGGCCCATTGCTGGGATGTATAATGAGATAGCTGGACAACTCTTCAGTTATCATACATGGCATCATAAGCACGCAGAAGGGAGGGCTGCCAGGCACAGGGTTCTGGGAGCCAGTTCTCACCAAACAAACATGTGTACAACATGTGGGATTTCACCTTTAGCCTCAAGTTCAGACTTGCTGTCTGTTTGGCTCAAACTAGCCTGTTCAACTCAAGTCTCCTATTAGAGCTGCTTCTGTTACAACATGCTTTTCCCAGGCACACCTCACACTAGAATCCTCTAGCTTTCAGTTTTTATGTAGGAAGCCTCCCTCCTTGGCTTCATGGCTCCCACAAGCTGTTTATCCTGTGAAACCCACCATGTAAGTTCTCACTGGGTTCCAAATCTGGTTGAACATCAGTTTGCACCTGAGCTTTTATATATATATATATATATATGTATATATATATATACAAAAATTATGTATATATTTATATACAAAAATTATATATGTATATGTAAAATTTAGTGACGGGGTTCCATTACATAGCCCGGGCTCACCCTGATCTCACTATGTCACCCAGAGTGGCCTCAAAATCACAATCCTAAGTCCTGGGATTACCAGTGTGCACCACCACACCTTTTTCTTTAATAGAAAACTAAAAGAAAACTAAAAGAAAAAGGTGGAGACGTGGCTCAAGTCTCCAGTGTGCACCACCACACCTTTTTCTTTAATAGAAAACTAATAGAAAACTAAAAGAAAAAGGTGGAGACTTGGCTCAAGTAGTAGAGAGCTTGACTAGCAAGTGCAAGGGCCTGAATTAAACCCCAGTACTAACAATAGCAACCAAAAAACCTAAAAAAATAGGCCAGGGTTGCCAAATTTTTAAAAATTGATTTGAGGGCTGGCAACGTGGCTCAAGTGGTAGAGCACTGCCTAGCAAGTGTGAAGTGTGAAGCCCTAAGTTCAAACCCCAGCACTCCTCCCAAAATTTATTTGAATTATAATGTAGCTAAGATCCCATGTTGCACGTAGTTGTTATGGCTCAACAAGTAGGGTCCTCTTCTCTCTTTTTCCTTCCTTTCAATTTATTTATTTGCAGTATTGGGGCTTGAATTCAGGGCCTACACCTCGAATCATTCCACCAGCCTTTGTGTGTGTGTGTGTGTGTGTGTGTATATGTGTGTGAGTGTGTGTGTGTGTGCGTGTTAGGTATTTTTGAGATAGGGTCTCAAGAACTCTTTGCCCATACTGGCTTTGAACTGTGATCCTCCTAATCTCTGCCTCCTGAGTAGCTAGGATTACAGGCGTGGGCCACTGGCTCTCAGCTTTTAATTTATTTATTGAAAAAAGAAAGTATGTTCTTTTTCTTAGCTTTCCATGCTTTGGAATTTGCTGACTATCCCATGGTATCATTTAACATGTTCCTTTGGCCCTTATTTTCCTATAAACTGGTAATTGTGGGAAGCTTTAATGTATTTATTTATAGACAAGGTCTTGCTATATTGCCCAGCCTCATCTCAAATTTGTAATCTCAAGCAATCCTCCTGCCTCAGCCGCCTGAGTAGCTAGGACAGGTGTGTACTGCTTTGCCCTACTAGCAAAGCTTTTAAAACTTCAGATTTCCAGACCTTCACCCTAAAAAGTTACTTGAACTGGTGTGTGACTGTTTTTTGGGGGGAGGGGTATTGGGGTTTGAACTCAGTGCCTTGTGCTTGCTAGGCAGGCGCTCTACCACTTGAGCCATGCCTCCAGCCTGATCTTTTGTTCCTAAGAGCCTCTAGATAGGCCTGTTTGCCTCATGTTTTGAGAACTGCCAACCTGTCTGACCTCTATAGTAACCACAAATCTGCCTCAGTCACACCAAACATCAGAGAGGGACTGAGGTGGGTTAATTAAGACCTTTAGTGGGGACTCTCTGGGAACCCCAGGGCCTGTACCTCCATCCTCTACCTCAAGTTAGAGAAACTTCCTGGCCTTGTAAACAAATGTATCAGGGTGAGGAGCAAATTTTGTGCTGTGGCCCCTCAGGGCAAGTGAGCTGTCCACAGGGTGGACAGTTCACTTAGGACTGAGAGCTATGAGTTGCTGGGTACCTCTTCCTGTTCCTGGCTGCTGATGTGGGTGTCCATGCTGTTCCTTTTCTGCTGACTGCCCCCACCCCCATTCCCCAGGACCAACTGTCTTCTTAACTGCTAAGAGAGACATTCTACTGGTAACAGCCAGCACCACACTGGCATGGCTCACATCAGATTTCTTCCCTATCCTGTTCAAATTTCTCCTCTAACTTCCCAACACCTAAAACAAGATCTGCATTCCTCACCATGGCTGACAAAGCCTGCTGTGGCCTGGCCCATACCTACTTCTCTAACTACATCTTCTCTTTCTTTCCTGAACACACAAGCCTTTCCCCTGCTCCTATATCAGCCTCATTTCTGCCTCAGGAAGTAACATATACAATTTCCTCCAGGAATACTCTCCCTCCAGCACCCACGACTTACTCCTTTATCTGCTGAAATGACCCTCTTCAAAGAAGTCTTAACTACCTCGTGTAATTTCGCATTCCTCATCATTCTCCTCTTATTCCTTGTAGTAAATATGATTACCTGAAATTGTATAATTTTTGTAGTGCTGGGGATCAAGTTCAGGGCATTGCACATATCAGGCAAGTAGTACTCTACCTCTGAGCTTCAACTCCAGCCTGGGATACTTGTATCGTCTCATCCTTTCATTGGTGGATGCCTTGCTGAGAGGGAATTCGATTGTCTCATTTACCAATATATCTCAAGCAGCTAGCACAGTGGCTGGCATGTAATAAGCACTCAATAAATGCTTGTTGAATAAATGTATAAATGGATGGGTGGACTGATAGATGGAGCAGCATTATCTTCTCAGTTCTTTCTCCTACTGGGGCATGTGTACAGAGGAAAGCATTCATTGGGTGCATTCTGTTTTTGATGCTGGGGATTAAACCCAGGGCCTTATGCATACTAAGTACATGCTTCTCCACTGAATTTATATCCCAGTCATTCTGCAACCTGTTTGTTAAAGAACTAGCCTGGGTCCTGCCATAATTCACATAGGTATCATTACAGGAGTTGCAGTTAGAAGCTGCACCTAGTGGTCCCTTTTGAAACAGACCTTCCTCTGTGTAGGAATGTACTTCAAGGGAGGTTTGAGGCATGACCTTGGAGAAGCTGAATTTCAAGTCAAACACTGTTACATGAAAAATCATTTTGTTGAGTGGTAGGGACTCCACTGGGGCAATAAAAAGTAGGGATAAAGGAACATGTGACCCTCAGGGGGATGTTCACAGTTCCTGATCTAGGTCACAGGTCTTCCTAGAGCTTTTTATTCTGTCTCCTGAGACCCCAGGCAGGAGGCTCCCTGGGTCTGTTTCTTCCCATCTCAGGAATCCCAGCCCCTCCTGGATGCTGGCAATGACTCAGGACAGAAGCCCATCTGGTGGATTGGGCCCTCTGCTAGGTCTCTCTACACTCTCTCTCTGCACTTGCACAGTAGTGCAGATTGTTCCTTCTTCTGCCCCAGAAGGGAGTGTAGAGGATTAAGCAGAGCAATGTCAGGACTTTTAAAAATATTTTTTATTTATCAATTCACCCACCCATCCACCCACCCCTCCCCACCCCCCCGTCAGGCCTTCTTCCGGGCCAGCTTCAGCCTCGGGGTGTTCAAAGAGGCCTTTTAAACCTCAGTTTCTGAGTCCTTGCTTGTGAGTTATTGGTATAGAAGGAGGCTCCTAGCTGAGGCGGGCTCAGGCAGAATGGCTCCTGTTCTGTCTATAGGGGGCTGGGCTGTGGAGGTAACTGCCGAAGTGGTGTTAGCTGTCTTAGGCAGTTAAATGCTTGTCCTCTCAACAGAGCAGCTCAACCAGCATGCTTCTGTTGGGTCATCAGCCTCCTGCCGCCATGGTTTAAGTGACGAATTTTGGGGCTAGAGCACCCTAGGTCATCATCTGACTCTGTTGGAGGTCGACGTCTCTTGGGAGCCTTCCTGGGTGCTGGCTTCTCTGCTTTGGCCTTTGTTGGGGTGGCCGTGGGAGCCTTCTTGGGTGCTGGCTTCTCTGCTTTGGCCTTTGCTGGGGTGGCCATGGGAGCATCCCCATAGACCCGGTAGCCGCCCACCAGGCAGTATGTCTCACCATGCCAGCACATCTGGGTTTCTCCACACCCTTGGTAGAGGACATGGTAGTAATGAGGTGCAGGAGGTGGTGTGGGAGGCATTGCTGGAAAGAAAACCAGAACTGATCAGTCACTTCTGCTTCGTACATTGCGCCCCCAGAACTTTCCTCTCTCACATCCCTTCCTGTTTCTGGCTGAAGTTCTCTTATCTGCTAAGCACCCCAGAACCTCGGTCTGTTACCTCTGTGGATCCCTAAGAAGGAATGCTTGATAAAAAAATCACCTGGCTTCTGTGGAGCCAATGGCAACAGTGGAGATCAGGGTATCTGTTCCCCATTCCTAGAAAGAACAATGGAACCTCAAAATAATTGCAGTTGGGACCCTTGCAGTCTCTCCTCTCTAAAATGAGAAAATTTTCTAAAGGTCTGTCATTTCTGAGCTTTAGTAATAATGGTTTTCAGGTTTTTGGAAAATATAAATTGGTAAAGAACCCCTCCTACCTTGGCAGCTTCTTTTAGGACCCATTCATTCAGCTACACTGGTCTAGCCCAATTTTATCTAGATTTACTTTTTGTTTGGTTTTGCTTTGGTTTTAGTTTGAGACAGGGTCTTACTATGTAGCCCAGCCAGCCTCAAACTCTGTTCTGCTTGCTTCTGCCTCCAAGTAGTTGGGACTGTAGGCCTGTACCAGTGTTCAGTTCTGATATTTTCTAAAGGCCAAATGCTGGAGCAGTGGGGCCAAGAAGTCCAGAGTCAAATTCTGGGTACCAAATTTAGGTTCAACCTCTCACATTGATCCAACTTCCTGGGCCAGTTTCAGTAGCACTACATCTTTCCCCTAGCTGTATGACACAACCCTTTCCACCAGTACATAGCAGCTTAGACTTGAATGTATCTGAGGGGCCCATGTGTGAGTGTCCATTATAGCACAGTAAAGATGCCTGGATCTGAAGGTGAGGTGCATGAGAAGCCTTTAAGAGCTCTTTCTCAAACTGGTCCATTTATCACTTAACAAAAGTACATGTGACTTTGCTAACAGTCTAATCAAGAAAGGGTCTGAGTGAAGCATCTTGTACCTCAAAGGGAAGCCTAAATTGAAAAAATAATTAGAACCTCTCTGAACACTTGCCCAGAGATAATGTGTTACTTGCCCTCAGAACAAGGGTCTGAGGTGGGACCAAACTATTGGTCCTAATCATTGCTGGGAAGTTTTGAGGTGTGGTGGGCAAGCCTCAGAGGAACATATGGTAGCCCAGTGAAGTTGTTTGTACACCAAGGCCTCTTGTACAGAGCCTGGCCTAGGCTTACCTGTTGCACTGCTCTCCCAGGGGACAGAGGACATATTAGAGTTAATATAGAAGATCCGGTCAGACATTCTCTCTCAGACAACCAAACAGATTGGTATCTTGTAGAGAAATGATAGGGAAGTTTCCTTAAGGGCAGTAGTAGTTACTCTGCCATGGAAACGGAGCCCTGTGATGTCATCACTAGTCAGTGAGGTCATATAAGTTCTGGAACCTATGACTCGAGGGTGGGTAGTTTTTTTTGGCGGGGGGGGGGTGCTGGGGCTTGAACTCAAGGCCTTCACCTTAAGCCACTCCACCAGCCCTATTTTTGTGAGGGGTTTTTTGAGATAGGGTCTCGGGAAACTATTTGCCTGGGCTGGCTTCGAACCACGATCCTCCTGATCTCTGCCTCCTGAGTAGCTAGGATTACAGGCGTGAACCACTGGCGCCTGGCTGAGGGATAGGCTTTAGGCCCTCTGTGTTTTCTGGAGGAAAGCAGGGCAAAGGCAGAGAGGTGTCCTGCTGGGCTTCCCATATGGTCTGACCACCCATACCCTAAAGTAGCCACTCGCTGTGGAGTACACCTGTGGGTGGGCACACCCCTGTGACCACAGGAGGGCAGGAGAAACCCAAATTTTGAGATTGATCTGAGTTAAGACTAACCTTGAGACAGCTAGATTTCATGGCCCTGACTCTTAAGCATTCAACAGTTGGAGAGATAGAAATCTGGGTGGATTAGGGAGCCAGAGAGTGCTCCTTGGAAGTGAGCCTGAAGGATAAAGTGAGACTTGGACAGATGGAGCGAAGACATTCCAGTTGGAAAGAATAAAAGTAAAAATAGGCTCTTACTGACCTTGTTCTGCCCCAAATGTAAATTCATAGAACTCTCAAAAAACTAGGAGTCCCTGGTTTCGGCACCAACAAAAATAACTAAGGTGTGGAGGGTGAACTTGTTCAAGGTATATATACCTGTACGTATCTATGAACTTATAATGAAACTGTCTTGTACTACTAATGTAAATTAAAAACTAAAAACAAGGCAGGGGGGAGTGGCTCAAGTGGTAGAGCACCTGTCTAGCAAGTGCAAGGCCCTTAGTTCAAGCCTCAGTCCTACCAAAAACAAAAAACACAAAAAACCCTTAAGAGCTTTTTACAGGGCCTACCCAAGGTCACACAGGTGTTCTACTCAACAAGAGTAGGGTTCATGCAGGGGTTCCAGATTTATATATGATAGGAACATGAGGACAAGCTGATCATATTTCTAGGTGCTAGACACTGGGAAGAATGTTAAAGGTGCTCCAAAGCATTGACTTTGAAAGTGGGAATGACAGACCCATTTTAACATGAAATGTGAAACACATTCATGATACAGTGAGATAATAAAAAAAAGACCACCTTATTTCACTTCTCTTTCTTTAAAAAAGGCAAATAATAGGACTTCAGATGCAGTTCAGTGGTAGTGTGCTTGCCCAGCATGTTTGAGGACCTGGGTTTAATCCTCAGCAGTGCAAAAGACAAAAGCAAACAAAAAACAAGCCTGACACAGAGGCTTATGCCTATAATCCTAGCTACTGAGGAGGCAGAGATCAGGAGGATAGCGATTCAAAGCCAGTTTGGGCAAATAGTTCAAGAGACCCTATCCTGAAAATACCCAACACAAAAGGGCTGACAGAGTGGTTCAAGCAGTAGAGCACCTGCCTAGCAAGCATGAAGCCGTGAGTTCAAACTCTAGTCCACCAAAAACAAAAAACAAAACAAAACTGGAAAGAGACTTTGTCTTACATGTGGTGGTTTGGAGTATGAATCCACTGAATTCTGTCCCAATAGGAATTACTGTTAAAAGTGCCATTAAAACATCATTTATTGTTAGAAATCATGACAACATTGAAAGTCAAAATTCACTTTATTTTTTCATGTGTTATATGAAAGATTACCCTCTAAATGCTGACCAGCAGCTTACCTTTCAAAGCCACAAGCAGCAAACCAGGCTCTCAGGGAGGCAACAAGGCAGCCCGATGCCTCCTTCTAACGAGTATGCTCACCCACCAGGGACACTGGGAAAGATTCCTGTTCTAGCATCACATTTAAGTCAGCCAAAATCAGGCTTGTTGAGGCAAAGGGTCTTGCACGGAGGATGCTAGTCCTGGAAGACTTCTCCTTCGACGAGCTGCTAGCTCAATCTTCTGAACCAGGGTCACATCCCAGGGATGGGTCACAAAGCTGATGACGGTGCCTGGCATCTCGCTCCCCACACGGCCCACCCTCCCTGCTCTGTGGATGTAATCTTGCAGGGTGAGGGGGAAATCATAGTTGACAACCAGCTCCACATGGATGCTGTCCAGGCCACGAGAGGCTATGTCTGTGCAGAGAAGTATGTCTCTGAAGCCCTTCTGGAAGCATTGGAAGATACCTGCCCTCATTGAGGCTGGCATTTGTCCCTGTAGCCTTAGGTGTTGGATTCTGTGGTCATCTAGAATATATCCCAGCCAGTTCACAGTGCTGGAGCTGTTGCAGAATACCAGGACAGTTCCCAAGGGTCTGGTCTTATCAGCTTTGTTATGATGCTTGAGGATCTGTATCAACTCAGTCACCTTCTCTGCTCCCTTCAGCCTCATAAATGTCTGTTGACATGAGGCATGATACAGTGAAGCCTGGAGCTGGTGATGGTGGTGACAGAGTCTGGGTTGGTGACTTTACTCAGCAATTGGCTTACACCTTCAGGAAATGTGGCACCCACCAGCACTAATTGTGCTTTGGGATTGAAGGGGTCCTCTAAGTCGGCCGGTCCTTCTGCTATATAGCTCTTCTCCAAGATGTAGTCCACCAGTTCCAGAAAGCTTTCATCCAGCAATGTGTCTGCCTCGTCCAACACCATGAAGGAGAGCTTCTCCAGGCTGATCAGTTGACTTTTCAAGGCCTTCCACAGAGCCCCTGGAGTTGCCACTAGCACATCTGCTGAAGGTTCTCTGGACAGTTGCAGCCTGATCTTACGCATGCCATGGCCTCCCCCGAGGCCCCCCACCTGCAGGCCCAAGGAGCTGCCCAATGGCTGAGCCACAGCTTGCACCTGTTCGGCTAACTCTCGGGAAGGCACAAGGACGAGCCCCCGGGGAGCGGCGACACGGCAGGAGTTAGGGCCCGATAGGCCCACGAGTCGTTGAAGCAGTGGTAGTAGGTAGCCGAGAGTCTTGCCACTGCCGGTTTCCGCGGCACAAAGGACGTGGCGGCCGCGAAGCAGTGGGGGGATGGTGCTCTCTTGCACGGTCGTGGGCCGAACGACTTCGGGTGCTGCTTCCTGAAGTGCGTTCAGCACACAGGGCTGCAGACCTAGGTCCGCGAAGCTGCTCCGGCACGAGAGGTTCCACAGAGCGGGTGCCTCATGTTGCGCGCGCTCGATGGAGAAATGGTCACGACGTGCCTGCCGGTGCTTCCAGCCACGCGAGGCGAGCGGCGCGCACTCCCAACGGCCCAGAGTGTGACGCGCCGGCTGGTTCAACTCTGGCCGCCGCGCGGAGATCAGCAGCGGTCCAGGTCGTACTAGCACGGGTCGCGGGGCCCCGCTTCGCCGGCTCTGCAGCTGTTCCTGCCGCCGCTGTAAAGCCCGCGGAATGCGCACCACCGGCAGGGGGTCGTCCGGACGGCGGACCGCCAGGTCCCGTCGGGGCGCCAGGAGCAACCGAACTGCCAGCGATAATAGCCGCGTGGGCCGTACTAAAGCCATATTCCGCTTGGTACCAAAGAGGCGCACGTCACTGACGTCACGTGTGCGCCAGGGCCGTGCGTACGGTGGCTGACAGGGTTCAGTCGCATGTGTGGAGCTGGAAAAACGTCTGGAAGGAGGGAAGATCTGTAGAGTGCAGAGCGAGGTCTGTAGGTTCCAACAGGGAATGGCGGCGTCCAGACCCGGGTCAACCTTGGGGAAGGGTGCGTGGTGCAGGCAGGAGCGCGGTCCGGCAGTACGCAGCAGCAGTGCGGCGCTGGCCCAATGGATCAGGACTGCGGGTGGCTTCTGGCAATTGGGTACCCAGTCCCTGTGATTCTTCTTTGTCGTCTTCATTTTCCCTGCGATGACTCGTTCAGTGCTGACTTCTCCCTATACTCCGGGGATGTGGGGTGCGGCGATGTTTTCCCAGACGTAGACCACACGCAAGGACTAGTAAATACAGTTAGAGGCTGAATGAATGGTAAGCCTGGAGGCTGAGACCAGGGTCGGAAGTTGTAGATCTAAGCTTATCTCCTGTCCTTCTCTGAGAGTCCAGAGCGCAAGATGATGGTTTTTAGCTTATTTCCTCTCTGAGGTAGGAGGTAAAGTCTTCAGACTTTCTTTCAAGCGGAGTCGTCTCTTTATGCTTTTCCCCCTTTCAGCCAAGTTTCACTGTCTATTTCCTTGTCATTTCTCACAATCTCTCATTCTGATTCATCATTCTTGGAATAGTAGTATTAAGAAGGGTCCTGCTACACCTATGAAGTGATCAGGAATGAGGCTTACTTGACATAGCCCTGGTCAGACAGATTATTTGACTTGTATTCAGAGGTTCAGGTTGAAAAGAGAGAGAGAGAGAGAGAGAGAGAGAGAGAGAGAGAGAGAGAGAGAGAGAGAGAGAGAGAGAAATACACTTTTCATACTCTTTTTTGGTGGTAATGGGGTTTGAATTCAGGGCTTCCCACTTGCAAAGCAGGTGCCTCAAGTCCATTTTGCTCTGGTTATTTTGGGGATGGAATCTTGGGAATTATTTGCCTAGGCTGTCCTCCAGCAGTGATTCTCCCTATCACAGCCTCCCAAGTAGCTAGGATTACAAGCATGAACCACCAGCCCCTAGCTCATACTTTTTCATTCTTTCTGTTTGTTTTTGGGTTTTTTTCATACTTTTTCTTGAATAGATCTGAAAAGCGGGTGTCATCTTTCTGTAATCTGAAGTGCTTGGAGTAGGAGATAAGATATGTGTTTGTGGATTGATTACTTGGGAGTTTCCTAACATCTGGAGAAAGTATTTTACTTTCATTGAGTACAGTTGACTGTCCATGTCTATAAGTTGGACTTCTGTGGCTTCAATCAACTGTACATTGAAAATATTCACAAAAAATAGTGCCTGTATTGAATACATAGACTTTTTTCTTGCCCATAATCCCCTAACAATACAGCATAACAACTATTTACATAGCATTTACATTGTATTAGGTATTATAAGTAATCTAGAGATGATTCAAAATATATGGGCGAGGGGTTGGGATGTAATTCAGTGGTAGAGCACTTGCCTAGAAGGCATAAGTCCTTGAATTTGACACCCAGCCAAAAAAATATTTATATAGGAGAATGTGTAGAGGATATATGCAAATACTATGCCATTTTGTGTAAGAGACTAGCATCCTCAGATTTTGGTAGCTGTGGGGTTCCTGGAACCAATCACTGACAGATACCTGTGGATAACTGTGTCATTAAAAAGATAAAAACTAAAACTTTAGTCAGGTGCTGGTGGCTCATGCCTATAATGCTTGGGAGGCTGAGATCCAGGAGGATTGTGGCTTAAGGTCAGCCCGGACAAATAGTTTGGGAGACCTCCATCTCCAAAATAACCAGAGTGAGCTGGTGGAATGGCTCAAGTGGTAGAGCATCTGCTTAGCAAGCATGAGACCCTGAGTTTAAACTCCAGTACCGCCAAAAACAAAACCAAACAAAATAACCAGAACAAAATGGACTGGAGGTGTGACTCAAGTAGTAGAATGCCTGCTTTACAAACCCCAGTCCTATCAAATAAAGCCTTAAATTTCAAATGCCATTATAATACATGAATAGATTTTTTTTTTTTAGAGTTACCAGTTCAAGCAGTAGAGGAGGAGAGAATTTTGAGTAGTTATGGATAGAGTAGTAGTTCTATAGTGAGGGTAATTCTCTCCCCCCCCCCTTTGACAATGCTTGGAAAGAAACATTTTTAGTTGTCACACCTGGGAAAGTGCTGCTGACACCAGGGATGCTGCTCAGCATCATGCAACATACAGGACAGCCTCCCACAACAAAGAACTATCTGGCTTCAAGTGTCAATAGTGTATTTTGAGAAACCTGGATAAAGATGAGAATTGAAGAGAGTTAGAGATTCCCACACATGTCTTCTCTCCACAGGTTCACACAGGCATGGTTGCCAAACTCTTGCCCTGGTCCTGCCCCATCCTCAGAATCTGTAGCCATTGCTTGTCATCAGGAATCTTAGGGCCCCTGAAAATTATAAACACAGGAAGGAGTGATTCAAGGGTGAAGTTGTAGAAGAGACTTTTAAGGAGAATAAACCATCCTCATGTATTTGGGAAATATGCCAAGTGGAAAGAGATGAGTTGGGCCTTGGGGTGTATCATTACAGAAGACAGAGCTGGAGCCCATATGTGACAGGGAGGCACATTCTGAAGTTTATATAAAGAACTTTTGTGGCAACTAGAATTGCTCTGTACTTTTGAGAGTACTGAGTTTTCTGTCATTGAAAAATTGAGTGCAAAAAACCCCTCACTTCACTAGCTGGGAGTGGTGATAGATGCCTATAATCCCAGCACTTATGAGGCTAAGGCAGTTGGATCCAAGTTTGAAGCCAACCTTGGCTACATTATAGAGACCATGCCTCAGAAAGACAAAAAAGGCTGGGGTTGTTAGCTCAAGTGGTAGAGCACCTGCCTAGCAAATGCAAGACACTGAGTTCAAACCCTAGTACTGGGGAAAAAAAGGATGAAAATCCCCATTCAATATAGGCTGAATGATGACTAGTTGATAGCTGATCTAGTTGATATAGAGGGGAGTTGATATAAAGGATACCCCAAGATTTTGTGATTCTGTGCTACTTTTATAATTTTTTCCAAAACCCAGGGCTCCTCATTCCTTATCTAAATAGTTCCTTGGATGTCTGACTTGATAGGTTTCATCCATTTCCATGTGCCACTGTTTTGCAGATATAAAACTAAGAATTGCTTTGCCCCAAGCTAGGACCAGTACATTGAAGGAATTTTTTAAAAAAGAACAATATATCGGTATGGATGTGCATTTAGGTTTTGCTCAAATATTCAGGGCAGGGTAGTTAGTTACTCCCTTGTAATATGATTACATCAAAATTTTCCAGGGATTGGAGCTTGTCTGAGCTTGTCTCTGCCTATCACCTCTCATTTCTGGTACATCATCAGACACTGCCTAAAGCCCCTCATTTTTCCTCCTGCTTACAGTAGACATTGAGTAGCCTCTAGTTGAGATATATGGTTTAGAAATAGTGCTTCAGAATTAGGAAAGGCTTACTTACTGTTTTTAAAAAAAAAACTGGACACTTGTGGCTCACACCTGTAATCCTAGCTACTTGGGAGTCTGAGATCAGGAGGATTGTGGTTGGAGGCCAATCCAGGCAAATAGTTCATGAGACCCCCATCTTCAAAATTGCTACAACAAAACAGACTGGAGGTGTGGATCAAGTTGTAGAGTACCTGCTTTGCCAGTGCAAAGCCCTGAGTTCAAACCCCAGTCCCCACTCCACCCCCCAAAAAAACAAAAACCTCCTGGAAGCTGGAGGTTGGTATGTTCCTTAGATCTCAGCTAATTATAATTATGTGTAGTCATTGATTCAATAAATATTTTCTGAGCACCATGCATGTGCCATGTACTGTTCAAAGAGACAATGAGCAAAACAGACAAAATCTCTGTCTTTATAGAGTATTCCCGTTAATTAGTTTGGGGTAAAATCTGGAAATTGGTATTTTAAAAAAACCCTCTTTATTCACTTTGGTGTGGTGGTACACTCCTTTAATCTCAGCACTCAGGAGGCTGAGGCAGGAGGATCATAAGTTTAAGGCCAGCCTGAACCATATAGCAAGGTTGAAGCCTGCTTGGGCTGACTTCCCTCAGAGTATTTCTAGAATGTGATCACTTCTCACCACCTTAACTATAGCTTTCTGGTCTGAGCCACCATCATTGTCTTCTAACTGGTTTCCCTGAATCTACCATTGCCCCCTGTAGTCTCCTTTTTTTTTTTTTTTTTGTGGGACTGGGATTTGAACTCAGGGTTTTGCTCTTGTAAAACAGGTGCACCTCCAATCCTTTTTGCTCTGGTTATTTTGGAAATGGGGGTCTCACAACTATTTGCCCGAGCTGACCTTGAACTGAAAGTCCTCCTGATCTCAGCCTTCAAAATAGTTAGGATTAAGACAGGTATGAGCCACTGGGGCCTGGCACCACAGTCTGCTCTTAATACAGCAGTCAGTGTGACCATGTGAAAGCATGATCAGCTCAGGCCACTCCTCCACTTACAGCTCTCAATTCATCCATAGCCAACAAAGTCCCTGGAGTGTCCAACAAGGCTTTATGGGATCTGACCACTATTTCTTATCTTCTTATTGCTGTAACATCATGTATATTACTTCTGTAACTCCCTTTCTGTGGCGCAATCATACTGACCTCCTTGCTGTTCCTCTAACATACCAGATAAGCTTCTGTATCAGGGCCTTTGCGCTGTTGTGCATTCTGCCAGATACCAAGGCTAACTCAAATCTTTGTTCAAATCTTGTCTTCTCATTGAAGCCTACCTCAACTTCTCTATTTAAAATCACAACTCATCTCCAACACTTTCAGTCTCCCTTCACTCTGTTCTTTTTTTATTCCAGAGCCCTACTAGTTTCACAACATGCCATATAATTACTTATTTGTTATGCTTATTGTCTTTTGCATATATTCCTCCACAGGAGTGAAAGCTCTAACTGGGCTGGAATTTTTGTTTTGTTCTCTGATGTATCCCAAGGGACTAGGACAGTGGCTGGCCCAGACTAAGCACTAAATGAATAGTTGTTAGATGAATGACTGATCATGCATACTTTTTTATGATCAAAGGAAAGGAAAGCAAATGAATGGGTTGGAAAGAGGAAGGAAAACCTGCCCTGGATGACAGAGGGATTTTCTCTACTTACATCAGTGATCTGTGTTTTCCCTTTCTTCAGACAAAGGTAGAAGGAATGATTGTGAATAGCCTGTCTCTGTGCTACCACAACAAAGTAATCTTAGCCCCTATGGTTCGTGTGGGGACACTCCCAATGCGGCTTCTGGCCCTGGATTATGGAGCAGACATTGTTTACTGTGAGGTAAGTTACTCTTAGTTTTTGGTGTGTGTGTGTGGGCTTTCCTACAAGTGCATTCTTCCCATTTGGGTATGGAATTGGTTAAGAGTGGGACAGGCAGAACAGGAATTCCCCTCATGGGTGTTCCTGAAGGCAGGGCAATAAACACACATGACACTGATGAGCTTGGGCCTTGCTGAAGGTCAGAAGCCTGGGTGGTATACAGGCATTGTAGGTCACTGCCCTGGTTGCTATAGGAGGTAAACGTACATTAAGTGCACCAATGAATGAACTCTGAGGTTAGAAAGAAGAGGGAAGGGACCAGACTCAGGCAAGGGAAGTTGGGTGAAGTTGGTATTGGTAACCATAGGATTTTTCTGGTGGTGGTAGCTAATGGGTGGGCTCTACAGATTATGAGAGTTTCAAACTCAGGTTCAAGATCTGCTAGGAGAAACAGAATTACAGGAGTAGATGATACTGGATAGTGAGGGAGTGTGAGCTGTAGTTCTCTCAAGTGAGTATTTATCAGAAGAATCTGGGGTGCTTCCCCTAATCCTGATATGTTCCCCTAGTGAGTATGAGAAGTTTAAGAAACTACCCAACTGCTTCTGATATTACCATCTTTTTTTGTTGTTGTTTGTGTGTGGTGCTGGGTATTGAATTCAGGGCATTTTGCATGCTAGGCAAGCACTCTACTACTCTACTACAAGCCGCACTTGATATTTCTGTTTATAAAAGCTACTGGGGGTTGGGATCAGTTGAGGAGGTGGCTGTGTTTGTAAAAAGACAACACAAAGGGTTCTCTGTGGTGATGAAAGTATTCTGTATCTTTTTAGGGATAAACCAAGGGCCTTGCACTTCCTCTACCACTTGAGCCATGTCTCCAGCTGTTTTGCTTTAGTTATTTTTTGAATAGGTTCTCACATTTGTGCCTGGGCAGATCTGGACTGAGATTCTCCTGGTTACACTCCCCACATAGCTGAGATGACAGGTACATGCTACCATGCTCAGCTTTTATAGTTTGAGATGGGATCTCTAAACTGTTTTGCCAGGATTGGCCTTGAACCTCAGCAATCCTCCCAATCACTTCCTGAGGAGCTAGGATTATAGGCATGAGCCACTGTGGCTGGCTCCTTTTTGTTTTTATTTTGTTTTTGAGATAGTTTCTCACTAACTTTGCTCAGGCTAGCCTTGATCCTTCCTCTGCCTTCAACTCCTGAGTAGCAGGTATTACAGACATGTAGTTATAGACATGTAGATACCTGGCTGTTCTGTGTTTTAACTGTATCAATGTCCTGGTTGTAATATTTGTATTGTAGTTGTATAAGATGTTGCCATTGGGTGAAACTAGGTAAAAGGTACATAGGGTCTCTCTTATGTTCTTACAAATGCATGTGAACTTATATTTATCTTAAAATAAAATGCTTATTTAGAAAGAAAACCACTCTGTGTTAGTCAGCTTTTCATTGCTGTGACAAAATACCTGAGAGAAACAACTTAAAAGAGGAAAGATTTATTTTGCCTCACAGTTTCAAGTTTCAGTCCAAGATCATGTAGCGCCATTGCTTTGGACCTTAGGTAAGGCAGAATGTTATGAAGGTGGGTGTTACAGTAGTCTCTTCATCTCAGGTCAGCCAGGAAGCAGAGAGGAGAGCGGAAGGCCCTTTGTGATGTATGTCCTCCAGCGAGTCTCCCACCTCTGAAAATTTCCACCACTTCCCAATAAGGCCATTAAATTATCTGTTAATGAATTAACCATTGATGAAATCAGAACCCTTATGAGCCAATCAATTTCCATAAACCTCATATCTTATGCTGCATTAGGCACCAAGCCTTTAACAAATGAGACCCTTTTTTTTACAGTAGTGGGGTTTGATATCAGGGCCTATACCTTAAGCCACTCTGCCAGCCCTTTTTTATGAAGGTTTTTTTCAAGATAGGGTCTTGTAAACTATTTGTCTGGGCTGGTTTCAAACCTCCTAATCTCTTGCCTCCTGCATAACTATGATTACAGGCATAAGACTTTTTTGTTTTTTTGAGGCTGGCACGGAATTTATAATCCTTTTACCTCAGCCTCCTGAGAGCTGGGGTGACAGATGCATGTCACCATGCTTGGCAACAAATGAGCCTTTTTGAGGGACACTTCATATCCAAACCATAACATATTATATAGGGAGGAGGGAGGGCTTGTGAGGGGACTTGGGGAAAGTATCTTGGGTGTGGGTGTTGGGTTTGGGAATTAATGATAGAAGAGGTTTAAAAAATGAGAAAATAGGCAAATTAAAGAAGGCAAAATTCAGATCTCCGAACTGTGACAGAAAATGCACATAAATCCAAATGCAAGGAGACTGGGAGGAGGGGGTCTGTGGCTCAGTAATAGAGTATGTGCTCCGAAACCTTGGGTTTAATTCTCCAGCACCATCTTAGAGAGAGAGAGAGAGAATGAGAGAGAGAGAGAGAGAGAGAGAGGAGGGCGAGAGAGAGAGAAAGGAAGGAAAGAAGAGAAAGGAAAGAAAAGAAAGTGAAGTGCTTTTGAGGAGAGGATTTTTCCTCAGTAATTATTATCTAGTTTAGGTATTGTTTTAGAGTCATAGCATGCTTGTCTATGTCTGCTACTGAGTCAAGTTACCCTCATTATCATGTTTCTGATGTGCCAAGTGCCCTGTCAGGACTTACATCTTTCTAGTAGTCTACTTTAGAGCATTTGAATGTGTAAAAACAAAAAAAGAAGAAGAAGGCTGTGAGTCTGCTCCCATTTCTTACATGGGGAACAGGAAAAGTTTCTTTTTTTTCTCTCCCCCCTCCTTGTCTATATACTAGAATAAATCCTTGCTAAACCTTCAAAAAAAGAAGGCTGGAAAGTACTTAAGTACTTTATGAGAGAAGAATAAGGTGATTGAGAACAACTGTGGCACATACAGGTGAATGTCTGAGGAGTTAAGGGCTTGAGGTCTGAACAGCAAGTGAACAGGTAAAAATAGGGATGCTGACTGCCGCATTACAAATTTAAGAGGTGAAGCGGGGAAAGGGTACAGATAGGTGGCTTGAGGTATGAAGGAAGTGTGGTAAAGGGAGTTCTTTGTAGATAACTTGCGTGTTTGCAGAGAAAGAGGAAGGAAGGAGTGAGATTTGAAGGGGTAATTCGAGTGATGGGCAAGGCCAGGTTTTGAAGGGGGCTGGATTTTTATTTATTCAGTTTTGGGTCTAAGGATTGAATTCAGGGCCCTGCCTATGGTAGATGAACACTATAGTCACTAAGCTACACTCCCAGGGCAGGATTCTTTTAGTTCTTTCTTTCTTTATTATTCATTGGCAATACTGTGGTTTAGACTCAGGGCCTAGTGCTTGTTAAGCAGGTGCTCTACCACTTGAGCCAGGCTCCCAGACCCTTGTCCTTTATTTTTCGAATAGAGTCTCAAGTTTATGCCTGGGTAGACATGTACTGAGATCCTCTTATTCACACTTCCTGCATAGCTGGGCTGACATGTGTGTGCCATCATGCCCAGTTTTTACTGGTTGATGTGGAAGGATCTCTCAAACTTTTTGCTGAGGCTTATCTGAAACCTCAATCTTCCCAATGTCTGCCTCCCTGGTAGCTAGGATTATAGGCATGAGGCACAGTGCCTGGCTTTTTGTTTGTTTGTTTTTACTTTGTTTTTGGCATAGGATCTTACTAGCTTTGTCTGGGTTGGCCTTGAACTTGTGATCCTCCTGCCTCTGCCTCCCATGTAGCTGGGATTACAGGTGTGAGCCCTCATGCCCACCTGGCATCCCAAGATTCTTGACAGGTGGTGGGATCTGCCTTCCTCTGAGATGGGATAAGGAGGAGAGGAGGAAATTGATGAAAGGGAGAGAAACTGAGGAATTTCAAGGCCAGACTTATAGAAGGGTGTAGGAAGCTAGTATTCTGTTGAAAATGAGGGTGACAGGAGGATGGTGGGGGTAGGGATTTGAGGAAAGTGAAGTTCTAGTTCTGTTGTGAGACTGAACATTTTTGCCTAGTAGTCAGTGTGTAAGGTGATACTGGCTCACAGCCTTATAGGAAGAGCAGAGAAGCTGGGCATGGGTATGTCCACGGTTGGGGATTGGCATGCTGGTACCTGCAGCAGGGTGAGGGCAGAGGTTTTTAGGGTGCTGGCAAGGTGAAATGGAAGGAGGGAGAGAAATGGAGAGGAAATAAGTATGTATTTTCCAAAGGCTTAAGGTAGAAGGTAGAGAGAGAGGTTTCTGAGTTCAGGATCAAAGGCCCAAGCCCTCACTTCTAAATGGTTTGTAGGAAAATGTGAGAGAAACTGTTAGTATGCACTGAGCTTGATTCATCTGCTCATTCAGGTTCCTGTGTGCTCAGCTGTGTGTTAGATGTATGTAGTCTTTACTGGCCAGCACCCTTCTTCCGCTCCAGAAGTGTTTGGATTTGGAAGGAGAGTGGGAAGAGGAACTGTGAGGAATCTTTGTCTCAGACCTAAGGCCTGGAGACAAAAATAACTAAATCCTAGGGAACTCAGACTGCTGTTACCTTTCTTTGCTTATGGTGATCTCTAAATGCCTCTGTAGGACAACAATGATGAGGTTCACATTAGCTCTTCATCCACTTAGTACTTCTTTACCAACCGGGTTCAGTGTGATGACAGACTCCAAGTAAAGCCCCCAGCTTCTTCCCTGCTGCCTATCTCTCCCTTTGTTCATTCAAACACTCCCATGGTCATTTCAAGGCTCAGGGTAAATCATGTCCTGCTTCTCCTAGTTGTGCTTTGCATTCTGTCTCTATCCATGGTTTGGTTACTCTGATTAGCTGTCCATGTCCCTGTGACATGAGACTTGGTCCATAAGTGCTGGCAATTTACTTCTTCTTCTTTTTTTTTTTTTGGTGGTATTGGAGTTTGAACTCAGGGTCTCACCCTTTTTTTGTGTTGGGTTTTTCAAGATAGGGTTTTGAGAACTATTTGCCCTGGCTGGCTTCAAACCTTGATCCTCCCAATTTCTGCCTCCCAGGCAGCTAGGATTGTAGGCATGGGCCACTGGCT